AGTTTTAAATAGGGAATCATCTATGAGGGGCAGTGATGCGAACTAGACAGCTGAAGTAATGGAGCCATCACAATAGCAGTCAGCACAAGTCAATCGGTCAATCACTTCACGTCATAGATCAGAACAAAGGATGACACTAACTAGATGGACACTTGATGATTCATTTGTTCCATTTGAGTCTATAGCAAATCGGATCAATCATCAGTAGATACCATTAACCTTTTTAACGCTCTATTCCTCCATGTTCTATAGACCTATATACTGCACGCTGTTAGTCTTAAAAAACCAAGGATATAATGAAACGCTAAATTTTTTAACAACTGCAAACAACAAAAGCAAATTTAAACGATAAACATTATCAATATAAAGCAATAAATGTTTTTGACAAGCATGTGTTTTAGCATGATTTTCAATAAATAATATTGAAACGTATAAAATCAGGACAAAATGACAAACTTCAGGATGACAGACATTTATTTAAGGCACAAGCACCATTTAGAATTGATAAAATACAATAGAATCAATAAAGGGAATTAACGCAGAGTAATAAAATATATAAACATCAAATTAAAAATGATCTGTTAATAAAATGATAAATACTTTACGACAAATAATGAAGTATTTGACTTCTTGAATTTGATTAAACGAAATTGTATTAGGCCACACTATATTCCTCGAGTTTGGCACACTAGAGTTATAGAATTGACTTATTGAGAGATATGTAAAATATATTTGATTATTTATATAAAGTAGCAATAAAAAGAGATGTGGAAGATATTATGCTTATATAAAGATTGAATTTATAAATTAAGAGATAGAGAGAACTTATATAATACAATAATTAAATTTAGAGAGATTTGTGACTTTAGGATATACAAAGATTGGATTAAAATATATACCAGGATCCAACAATATATTTATCCGGCTATTAATTTTATAACAAACAGATATGCAACAGTGTAATCTCTTTCATTCCGACTACTTATAATTAGGTTCTATCTAAATTTGGCCAATTTTTGCGGTCGCTCGAAATCTGATCAAAAATGTTCAGTTAAGGACACGGCATGCCACTTGATAACTGAAACTATTTAGCACGTTTTTTACCAAATAGAAATAATCTTTTATTGTCCTTTCTGTGATGAAAACTTATTGTGAGGATCTGTCTCAAAAATTGACGAAATTGTCATTAAAAATGTTCAGCTCTCGATTATGCAGAGGAAAATTGAACAATTGAACCATGTGTTAAAATTTAACATTATAATTACTAATTTATATACAAGGTTTTCCCAAAAGTTCGTAAACACTTGCAAAAAATAGAAATACCAATATTATTCGCCGTTATGTATAATGTCTTTGTATTAAGTATAAAGTAATTGTTTTATGTATTCGCCGTAATAATATTATTCGCCAAGTAATAAGAAAAACACAAACTTTTGGGACAGCCTTATAAATTAATAGCTTGTTTCTCCATCAAAATGTATTTTGAAATTAATTTTAGATGTAGGTGTTAAATGGGATGTCAGCTATGGATGAATCGGTTCCATGGTATCTCGGGAGTTAACAAGGTTCCACAAGTTGTCTGATCATACAGAAATATAAAATATTTTCTTTTTTTCACGTAAAAAAACATGTTTGCGCTCAGTAACTAGGAGCGCGAGAGTAATTGGGACTTGACCAGCTACATCAATATTCCACGGTCACACACCTACCGATTAACCCTTGCTGGGGGGCGACGCCGTGAATATCGAACGGTCTCTCTGTAGGTGTTGTCGGGGTCACAGGTCTCTCTGGAGATGTTGTCGGGGTCACAGGTCTCTCATAGTAACACTCAAAATTACATAATACTTCATCCTAACTAATGGTCTTAACACTAAATATCATCTCAATAGTTCTACTGGAATATGTAGAATATCTATTACAAATACAGAACTTACTTCTTATAGTTTCGTTACAAACCACCGTCACCAAGAAGGGATCTTCATATTCAATCAAAATAAGCAAAATACACTAGTCAAGTCTTCCCAATATATTTTCATATTCAGTGCACTTATTGTAGAAATCCGTCCTATTTGTTTGAAATATTAGGAAATGCAGTTAACAAGGTTTCCAGTTGGATCTAACAACTTCCTAGTTTTCTTGGAGTCAATCAGAAGAATCATAAACCTAACACACGACAGTATACATAAATCATTGCTGTAAATCGTTTCATGATTTGAAACCAAGGTGTCTTTGTAAACACTGTGATGTTATTTTTAGATAAATAATTAATTTTTAATTATCTGTGCCTACAGAAATTTTGAGTTTAATTGTGTCTTTTGGAAATAGATATATTTATTTATTCATAATAACACTATACCTGCAGTTTTCAAAATGATTACTGGTTTCCATCGCTTTTTATATCGGGGGGGAGGAGGGAGGTTTTATTTTCAAATATATATATTTTTCATAATAACTATTAGAGAAAAAGGTTTTAAATATTTTTACAGAGGAATAAAAACCCAGAAGGATTAAGAAAAAAGAAAAAAAAATATTTCTAAAAAAAAAAAAAACTACCAACGCCTAATCCTTTGAGAAAATATTTAGAGAGAGGCTTAGTTATATTTAATTAAATTTCCATTTAATTCGGAGAAGTAAAATCTCTCCTCTACAATATATAAAATAATAAATAGAAGACTTCCGAGTTTCTTATTTTAAATTCTTCTCAAGCTTTCGGGTATTTCAAATACTTCTACAGGAGTATAGGCTGAAAGAAATCGTTAACTAATATTTATATCTTGTATTAAACAAGGTAATAAGACCAAATCCAAATGAATAAATAGAATGGGGATAGGTGGAAGAATGGTCTAAACAGTTGGTTTTCGACCTTTAAGACCCGGGTTCGATTCCCGCATTAGGTACTTTTTTTTACACACTATTTATTTGTAAAACGACATTTAAAGATTATCCCGCATGCATTTCTTTTCAACGAAAAATCAAAATTTATTCCAAGGAGAAATATCGATTATTTCTAACCTTAGGGATGAGGTATGAAAGGATAATTTGTGAAGAGTAATGATAAACGGAAAAATAAAAGTGTCCAGGGATGGGAATCGAACCCACAGTGTTCCGCTTACCTGGCAGATGCCATGTCCACTAGGCTATTTCATTACTCTTCACAATTCATCCTTTCATACCTCATCCCCTAAGGTTAGAAATAATCTATATTTCTCCTTGAAATAAATTTTGATTTTTCGTTGAAAAGAAACTCATGCGGGATAATCTTTAAATGTCGTTTTACAATCACAAGCCGCATTATATTGTATTATACACTATTTATTTATTTGGATTTGGTCTTATTACCTTGTTTTATAATCTATAATCCAAATTGTGCCTTATCTATATCTTGTATTATTTATATACGTTTTTTAGAAATTATATATAATTATTTTTTTCTATTATATATTTTTCACATTTTAGGCGTATTTACACAAATTTGGCCTTAAATACCCATTTCTTGGTTTCTCAGGAAGCCAGCCTCTGAGACCAAAAATATTTTTAGTCGCAGTGATACAGTCTGTTCCACGCTGTCGAGGGCCAACAGTCCGGAACGCTTTCGTGAATGTCTTTTCTTGATTTATCAGAGAAATGGGTTGGCAAAATATCAGGGAACAGGTTAAATCAACGTTTAGTTGATTTCTGCTCCACTATATGGCGTTCTGCCATCTATAAATACATGTGTTCCTGGTCAGGATATACTTTCATTATTTTTAGTAACTATTTAGTATTGGTGTATTTTAAGGTAATATATTTAATATCGAGTTTTTCTTTTATTCAAGGGATTTTTTTGTCGTTTTTTAATGCATCTATCGTGTTCCTCTATTCTGTCTTTTACGTGTCTACCGGTTTTGCCTATATACATACTGTCACAATGAGTACATTCTATGGAATAAATGGCTTGGCTCTTCTAAATTGGTGGGTTAGTATTATCATTTTTGATTTTGGAGTTTCTTACTATTGATCCAATGATCGGAGTGTTTTCATAGTATGTTCTAATTCTGTGTTTCTTAGTTCTATTGTTATTTTAACACTGTTGGGAGAGTATGGTATGATACATGTTGACCTGTATACTTGACTGTTATTAATTGTGGATCCCGCCCAGAAGTACTCCTCTACGTGGCGGGTGGGAGAAGCAGACCAAGTAAGGGACTGTTCTGTAGGGCGAAGTACGGTGTCGTGAGTTCCGAGCTGCTACGGTAACCGTGAACAGGGAATTCTGAAATGTGGATGACTAACGAGGCAATGGCACCCCTCCTTTCCATGGAGTGGACAAGACACTACCACAACATTAATTATGGATAGGCTGTAAAAATATCTTAATATGATTTTTTTTGGGTATCCTATGGCAAGGTGTTGCATTATCTTTTATATCTCTATTGTTTTGAATGTTTTATTAAATAAATTTCAACTCCTTTTGATTTATTTACAAAGTTTCGATGACTCTCTGTCACCATTGTCTAGGAAATCAATCCTAAATTGTTTATCTCTTGTTACCTTATGAAGATAGTTAGAAATGTACGCTGTGTGTTGATATTCACAATGTGAAATATGAACCAACGTCAAAATCAACAAATAATAAAAAAATTATTTACAAAAAAAGTTAAGGTTTTTATAAATTGCGTTTAGAAGATTAGTTAATAATTAAAAAGAAAGGTTGAAGTAAATGTTTAATCTTATATATAAATACAAACTGTCATGATAATTTTTCTATTTGCATATTTCCATCAGATTAATCAACACACAATTGTCTCATCTTCATGAAAATAAATGAAGATTCTTCCCTGATTTTACATATTGACATAATCCATAAGGATTCTTGATTGTAGAACGACGTTTGACAAATTTTACCACAAATGTTTATTTTGAACGAAAATTCGTAATTTATTTTAAGGAAAAATAACGACTATTTCTATCCTTAGGGATGAAGTATAAAGGATGAATTGTGACGAGTAATGGATGAAATTTTCCGTTAAAAGTGTCCAATCGAACCCACAGTGTTCCGCTTACCGGGCAGATGCCATGCCCACTAGGCTACACTGGACATATTTTCCCTTTGTAAATATTTTATAAAGTTAATTACGAATTTTCTATAAAAAGAAACATTTACGGTAAAATTTGTTAAACGTTGTTCTACAATCATAATCCGCATTATATTGTGGCGAAGAATTAATTTATTTTTTAATTTTATTCAATAAAATTATTCAACTGATTATAAAAATATATATTAATCTGTATTTGTAAAATCATCATAAAAATATTTCTTTGCTTGCTTTTTCAAGATTCTTTAGCTGTAGATAATTTTGTTGATTTGTTAATAACTGTCGAGTAGTCGCCGTGACGTCATCAATAAATACTTTCACAACTTCAGATATACAAAGACTTGATTTCTACGCTACAATATTAAATTATAAAAAAGGAATCAAGGGTTTGGTTTCTTTTCTCATTTCTTTTATTTCTCGAGCTTTCAGGCTAACATGTCCCTCAACACGGAGATCTAGAAGTACTACTTCTTCAGAAATTGTACTTGAGGATCTCCGTTTTGAAGGGTATGTTAGCCCGAAATCTCGAGAAATAAAATAAATGATAAAAGAAACCAAACCTTATATTCCTTATTATATCAAAATAAAAAAAAAAATCTTAATCATGAAAGGATTGAAATATTTTATAAATCTTTGCAAAAGAAAGTGATAAGAAATAAGGAAAACATTGTTACAATGCTAGGATATTCTATAGAAAGACACCTACTCTGGGGTATATGCTAATTATCTGCCACTAGGGAGTAATTCAATTAAGAAAATATCGATTAACGCCGATGGAATTCTGCTGTCAAGAGCTGTGTCAACTTGAGAGATTGTCTCTCGGACCATTAATCTTCTTGGCGCTAACCTTTGTTGCAAGGTCCTGCTAACTTCGTATTCCAACCACCTGGAGGGCAGTGAGATTGGATCGCGGCCATTCTCTTCTATACGGGAATGTTCGAAGAATTTTAAATAATCTCTTACAATATGCTTTCTTAAGAACGTTTATGAATTTAAATTCATACGTTGTGTTTGGAATTATTTATTGTTTGCTTTTCATGTCTATTGAAATATGAGACTACAAGCATCCATAACGATAACCTTGTTGGGAGAATCATTCTTTGATGATAAGAGAAAAATTTGATAACTTTTCTTATACTCTTTAAAGATACAAATTTCAAGATTAATCGAACATTATATTTATTGATTTACAAGAGAGAGAACAAAATATAACATAGTAAACAAAGAGAAACTTCTCTTCTTACGGTTAGCGCTTTTTTTTTTAGCTTAGCTAAGTCGCCCTGCCACTGAGTAGTGCTCCCAGTCTTAATGACAAAGGAAGACACATTTTACTTCACCCAGTCATGATGGTTGTCAAATCTCCCTCTCTTTCGCTTTACACATATACTCTGTGTAAACAATTAATTAATTAAACTTAAAATATATATATAACAAATTGTATTTAAATGATGTTTTTGTTTTCAAAATTAACGATTCTGTCTTCATTTTTAATTTCCTGGCATTTTTAAATTTTTGGTGGCTCTTAATAAGGGCATCATCCGAATCTCGAGCATCAAAGATGAAATAAATGTATATTTGTTTAAAGTATAAATATTTATTTTAGCATTGTATCTATATATATTATTTAAATACCTACTATTACCATCTAAAATATTATTTAAAAAATTCGATTTAATCACCTTTTTCCTGGTTTGACGACTAATATTTTTTAAAATTCATAAGAATATTTGTTTCTTTTAAAGAACATCATAAATTAACTTGGATCATTGTTCAATTTACATTTTTCAAAATCACCTTGACTTCTTTCTTAGAAAAAAAGTCTTAAATAAAGAAAAGATAAAAGATTTTCGGAAGTCGGTTGCCATTCGAATATATTCGATTCAGTATAAAGAATCTCTATATTTTGTATCTCTATATTATTTAAATACCTACTATTACCATCTAAAATATTATAAAAGTAGTTTGATTTAATCACTTTTTCCTGGTTTGACGACTAATATTTGTTCATATGTATTTTAGTTTCTTTTAAAGAACAAGATAAATTAACTTGGATCATTGTTCCATTTGCACTTTTCAAAATCACCTTGACTTCTTTCTTAGAAAAAAAGTATTGAATAAAGAAAAGATAAAAGATTTTCGGAAGTCGGTTGCCATTCGAATATATTGGATTCAGTATAAAGAATCTGCATTCCCTTTTGGATATTATATAGCGAAAGATTTATTTCCACAATTCTAAAACTTGAGGAAAACGTTTATAATAAAAACATTGCTTAAGGTTTTCGAATATTTTTATTATAAAAGTTCTTCCTTAAGTTGTAGCATTGTGGAAATAATTGTCTTTATTTATAAAGACACATATTGCGTAAGGTTTTCAAATATTTTATGAAGTAAATCGCAAATTTTCTTATATCTGAGAATGTTTATAATAGGAATATAGTGAGGAATTTGTGAATTAAGTCCTGGATGCTTTATTGATTTTATAAAATTATTTCAGAGGAAGAACGTTTAAAAAATAATCCAGGGCTCAATTTCTTGTATAATTGTGTTTCTCTTAACTTTCGGGATAACATGCTCTTCTACAGAAGCAACTAGGAGTATAAAATCTAGCTAACTCTACAACCCGCCAAAGATTGAATATCTATTTGCTAAAATATATTCTAAAATGTAAGTCATATATACGATTTAAAATATTAAGAAAAAGGCATCTCCTTATCGTGCAACTGAAAGTTGCTGATAGCTTGCGCCATCTATCGGAATAAATATCAACTATTCTCGTTAATTTTTAATTATTCCAGAATTGGCCAAATACCCATTCTTGATTAATCAAGAAAAGCTAACCACGGACGCGTTTCGGGCTGTTGGCTCTCATCAGCGTGGTGCAAGCTGTACCTCAATGACCAAAAAACAGGTCATTCAGGCATCCTGAAAAATCATGAAATGGGTAGTTAAGGCCAGAATTGGTTAAAATATGTAAATAAAATTAAAATTTGCATATATAACTATATATTTAATTTTAGGCGTGTATAGTTATCTAGAAGTTATACTCCTAGTTGCTCCTGTTGAAGGGCATTTTAGTCCGAAAGATATAGAAATATATTTATGCAAAAAAGATGCCCTAGAGGATATATAGATTTTAGTAAATTTTCTATTATATAAAATGAAAGGATTTAAGCACGAATGTTTCTTTTATAAACATTACAAACTTCTACTGTCCTTACTGCGATGAAAAACTATATTGGAAGGGCTTGGTTCATCAGTGGTGAACCCTCCCAGCGGTTTCGCTAATTTAATCCACCAGACCGCTTCTTAGAGCTTTAATACTGTATTGAACGATTCTGCTTATATACGCAGCACTGAAAGGTGGAATCTCAGAAATGGTTAAAAAAAAAACTTTGGATATAAGCTAATTGAACAGTAGAATTTACATATAAATATTTGCATCGAGCAATGCTCTTCCGCAAACAATAAGGACAAGGTCAGTTAGGCGTTAGGTGTTAAATTACCTATTATTAAAAACTTTTGTTTGTAAATATTGTCGATTCTATAAGGCTGCTACTTCAAAAAAAAAAAAAAAAAGGCTGTAACTGAAGACCATTGAAATCTTTGCGGAAGAGCAAGGTTTGAAGCCCATATTTCTATATGTAGTTCTCCAACTTTACTCTTAGATTAAACGGAAGAAACTGCTGGGAGGGTTCACCACTGATGGCTTTCCTAATATTATTGTCAATACACAGAGTAGGAATTTGTTTTATTTTGAAGGAAATGACCTCGTTATAAATTGTTTCAATTTCCAATTAAAGCTAAAGGTCGATCGGCCCTTAGAAAACGTAACTTTATAAGAAATCAATATCAGGATTCTCTGTGGCAGCTAGAATAAATATTATGATGCTTTAGCGCGCCATCTGTTGGAAAATTTGAAACTATTATAGACGCGTATTATTATTCTTTTTTTTTTTTTAAACAATTTATACAGCCCTTACTGTGGAAGAGCTATTGCTCGAAGCATATTATATATTTATAATTGTATGTATTTATACTATCCTCAAAGCTTATGTCCACAGTTCATTTAAAATATCCATTCAAAGAGTCTATCATCAGTATCACTATAAAAGGAAAACCGAAAAATGCAATATAACAGCGGTATGGTAGATTAAACTGGCGAAACCGCTGGGAGGGTTCACCACTGATGAGCCAGGCCCTCCCATTAATTTTTTCATTGCAGTAAGGGTAGTAGAGAAATTGTTTAATAATAATAAAAATAATCATACGCATATATAATAGTTTAGAATAAACATTACTGAATAATTTAAAGACTATGAGGCAAACTTGGATGAAGGATACCAATAGAGCAACATTGATCGTTTTTCAAGGAAATTCGCCACTAAATTCTCAGACGTACAGAGCCGAAATGTTTGATTTCATAACCAAAATCTTGTTGTAAGCATTTTTAGTAAAGAAGAATAAAATTGACCTACCAATTACATTTGAATTCATATAGCTAATTGTGAGAATTGATAAGCAGGTAGAATCTGTGTGGAATAATTGGTTGAAATTCTATAGAAAATTATAGAGAGCTAAAAAGTACAAGACTAGAGTGTTTGTTGTTATAAAAGAAAAGAACAGCCACATACAGAGTCGACTAAGGTATTAAATAGTGTACTACAGCATAAAGGAGGATCCATTAGTTCACTTCCTTATTTGAAAGCTCTGTCTACGGATCAGTACTTCAATTGAGATGCTTTTTCTTTAACAAAAAAAGCTAAAAGGCTTTAGCAATGCCCCGCCTTTGTCAAGTTTTGCCTGAGGTAATGCAATTCATCCTCTTTCAATCCTCACTTCTTTTTTTCTTTAACACAAAATCATATTTTCAAAATCTGTTATTATATCATTAATATATATATATTTTGCCTGTGATAAATAAGTAAATTTAAAAATTGACGATATTTTTATATACAGTAGAACCTCCTTTCAGCGGACACCTCTCCACAAAGTGCAGTTTTCA